TGATGGATTGAGTTCCCTATGTAATCGTCATCCTATTTCCGCGATGCACGCTCAACTTTTGTAGGGAATTTGTTGTGGAATGTTTCAGGAAAATTCTCGAAACAGCGGACCGACGCCGACGTCCGCTCCCACTGGGAACTAAGACGTTAAATCCTGGTTACGAGCATCTATTGAGCCTTTGCTCACTTTGTTAATGGATACAAATTGTCGAATAAATTCGTACAAGTAGTAAACACCAGAATCGTAACAAAAAGCCGCAAGAACGTTACCCTTGTCGCCGATATCTCTACAATAGTACGCTTGGAACGGAAAAATGTGAATCGGAAAAGATATTAGGGACACATTTTGTATCGGAGATAACATAATCGATACATCGATGTGTTGCAGAAATTATTAGAAATAAATCATATTGTAAATTGTATCCTCACGCACTATTTACTGATATATGCAAGAGTGGAGAGTACGTGAGGTATAGGTATATTATGGATATGGTCTAGATATTTAATTTAATTATGTTTAATAAAAAGTCGAGAAGAATCTCTACTATGCAAAAAGACGTTTACACATCTATATAGAAACGACTACCACGAACCTAATCTCTGATATCAGAGTTATGCTTTACTACTCTTGAGGACTTATTTATTATCTATATTTATATAGAACAAGTAATAATATGTTGATTTGGATTTTATTCTTCGATATTAAGTATATTCTTATTAAATTTCTATTAATTATATCATTATAGAATAAAAATATGATTTTTAAAGGTTCTCAAAAATACTAATGAATTGGAATTTCGTAGTGTACAAACTGGTGTTTTCATGACCATTTAGATTTTTCTTGTCTGAAATTATTATTTTTTTATATAATTTCGGAATTGAAATTTCCATAATTTTAATATTACACACACATGTTACTAAGCTTTACTATTTGTCAATAAAAAAAATCTGCAGCGATAACTAAAACTAAGCGCTCATTTACGCAACGAATTTATATGACATCATCGTCGAGTCTATTTTATACTGTAATGGCGTAATCGTATACTTGAGATGTAACGCGAATACTTAAGGTTGATTATGTCGCAAAACACAAATAATAATACTTACTGGTACTTACGGAACCGAAACGCCCATCTCTATATATTTAAAATTATAATCGTTAGAAAAAGCCGATTTGGCTTTCGAATAGTCTCATAAGAAGTTGAATAAATAAAATAACTAGTGCCTCTGTATATCTATATTTATTGATTTTCATTCAACTTTAGAACCAACAGGTCTACTCTCTAGAGTATTGTAATTAGAAAACAATCTAATCTCAATATCCATTTTCATCGATTCCATTTTTGTACTCTTCGAACGTAATCAAGACTAAATCGAATAAATATGATAACAATGGTAGATAATTGTTTCACCGACTACGTAATATGCAATACGTTGTATAATTCAAAATTATTCGAATTTATCGAAATTAGTTTCCAATTTAAACTACCAGAAGGTTCCCAATTCGCCGATATTTTTTGTAATAGCACGCTGTATCTATTTTAATAAATATGGTAATCGGTTTTATTGTCACTGTTGAAAGTAGTACGTGTTTTTAAGGAATAATATTAAATAAGGAATTTATTAATATAAAACATTATGTAATTGAATTTCTTGATATTGATACTTTAATTTGCCGAGTAAAGTAAAAACGACTTGTAAACAGTAATATGAGTATGTTCAATCGTGAGAAAACAGACAATCACATTCTTTATTGCTTTAAAGAAATCAAGCCATAAATTTATCAAGAGCAAGATTCTTATTGGAGGGGAGATAGAGAAGATAATTTGTAGCATTGAACGGTTAACTTCCGTCTCGATTCTCGAATCGAGGGTCGAACTCCGGAATCCAATAGGATAATCGATAAAACTGAATTGGCAAATTGCTTCGAGAAAGTCAAGGATGACTTGTTACATTACTATATTTACTAGTATTTTTCATTAAACTGCAAATGCACTAGGTTAACTAAACATTAGACTTGAAATCTAGTATATTAAAACTGTTATAATGGAAATATTTACTACAAGCATTTTAATTTCTTATTTTAATTATTGAATTGTGAGATGTTATTTTTTTTAAATAGATATGTCTAAAATTCATTAATCTTAAACAATTAAAATTTCAGAACACAGGGACACCGATCCTCCATTTCCTAAATTCGTCTCTAAAAGGGTCATAACTTTAGAAGATTATATTTCAGGATCGTCCTCATTGTTAGATATTCAAACTTCAATTGACTAAATGGCTCAAGATGCCTCATTAAGGGGTGAAACAAGTCGCAACAACGAACTTATCTTTTCAAGTTTGTTATATAGTAGGAAATATAGGTACTCTTATTAATTAAAATTAATTATTATAATGGACTGACTGCATGGCGCGGTTTTGCTTTCATGGTTAAGATACTTAACTCTATCCATTGAATTGTTTAACTATAGTAGTGATAACATCCATCCATCTTTACAAAATTCACAATAAAATGTTAGTACAATAGCGAATAGGATGTAATTTTACTATGTTCTCTTTGGGAAGTATATTTTTTTCAAAACCTTATATATACATGGAAACAAATAGAAAATCTTATATACCTCCTAACATAAATATATGTAGCATATATTTATGTTAGGAGGTATATAAGATTTTGACAAAAATATACTTCCCAAAGAGAACATAGTAAAAATACACATATTATTCTTAAGTAGAGGCATTATACAAGACATTTGAAACTGCTGCACTATACTCTTCATTATCTTGTTTTAGGTATATTTTTCTTTTGCAGTTGCTAAAAAAACAAATTTTACTTGAATTGACTGTAAACACTGTAAAATATTGTTCGTAGTTGTGATGAAATGAAAGCAGTGACACCCTAGGGATGTTTTCTATTCCGGTATGGATCAGTCAGGCTTCGTGGAGTATTCTATGCAGTTTGCAATGCGACAAGCATTGTTTGTATTGATTCACTATCTGAACACGTGACATTAGCAGAAAATTGTATTTATTACTCGTAATATACATACATATTAAAGAGATGAGGCCGTTTCATTTGCAATATATTTATGTTTCAGTTATTGTATTTACCAACACATTGAGAGCGTTTAAAGCTGAGCCTATTAATCTGTTAATTTTTAAAAGAGAATTACACAAATCTTGTTACAATTGTACGGGAAGTATCTTAATAATTTTTATTTTCCATTGCGATAAGATCATTGACACGTACCTACTTGAGGACTACATATATGATAAGTACTTACTATTATCAGTAATACAATATATTATCCATCTCAAAAGATGTTATCAAGTATCCTATTGTGTAAATACTGTTGACACTGTTTCAGTAAAAGGAGCATAATTTCTAACAAATTACAGCAATATATATCAACTCCGGCTACCTATTAAAATTAAAAATGCGTAATTTTCACAAAAACGCCAGACAAAAGAGTATTTATTTAATTCTTTCGTTGAGCTCTTAATTATATTAAAAACCGCAGTAATGGCGGTAACTGAAAAGAGGTCAAGTGTTAGGCTTAAAATATTTATGCAGAAAGTTAATCTGCTTACTAATTCAATTAGGCTGGAAGAAAAATCAATTGCTAAACGTTGGGAAAACCTATTAATACTGTTGTTAATTGTAAGCTTTAATCGAGTTCCTAAAATGCATTAATAAATTACTAAAATGTATTTTTTTTAATCATGTTTGAACATTATGAATTTTGGCTATCAATATATTTTACAATCAGTAAGTAGTTTTTACCCAAACGTAATTTTTTATCCTATTCTATCAATATGTCTTGGTTACGTGGCCGAAGTCGTGCTACAGCATATACTCGTAGTATTATTATAAAGGTTACAACAATTCAAAAAGTTCACTAGTAATATATACTTCTAGCTAATAATAAATGTTACGTTATACCGCAAATTCAAGCATACGACCAGACGACCAAACAAATATATATATGACCCGCTTAATGGCATTGGGAAATTAAATAATAGAATGGGCTAGTAACGATGTAATTGCAACAAATGAACACGACCCTAGACATGTTACAAAAGATCTCTATACAAAGAATCGTGTAAAAAGTTAAGAAAACATTCGTATTGTACAAGGCTTACACGTAAAAGCTACAAAAAGGGTCTGCAAAGTTGCAAGCTCTAATGATGACTAATGAGCCGTGTGTCGGCGATACCTCGTTTATTACTTCATTAACTTGATTTTAAATTGTTTACGTGTAGGGAACATGTTTTACGATTATTTAGATGGACTGTAAGTAATTTATTGCTATCTTTTATACGGCCAATGTGAAGGTTTTGACTTATTTTATCAAAGGGAATTTCATACATTATCATGGCTATAAAAGTGATAAATTTTTATTAGGTAATGTGACTTCAAATATAATACAAATCACTTTTATTTATAATTAGAACAGCAAACAAGTTGATTGCTCGCACGACGGTAAATGGTAACTGTCGCCTAAATACAAAAACAGCACTATGTACATAATTCCCGATATAGATAATTCTGATGGACTAAGATGTCATACCTCTTACCTAAACAGTAGGTCTACCACGAAGTGCAATTCCGAAATTTCGGATCGATATTTCGTGTGATTCGTACCATGAAAAACGTTCATTCCGAAATCGTGCCCGAAAACGGAGAATATCGTTTCGATCGTCCCAAATCGTACCATGAAGTATCCGTTCGTACGTTATTATGACGTTTTGACAGCACGTTTATCGTGATTTAAAGTGCGAAGTAGACGAAACCTAAATAGTTAACTTTTTACTTTCGTAAGTATGGATTTTACGTATATAAGTGCTGTAATATATAAAAAAGTGATTAATTAATAATTCAGTTAATGTGTTACAGTGAATAATGTGATAAAAGTTAAACTAATTAGTGTTTTTAAATATTATTGTGTTCAATATAACCTACAACTTAGCATTACTTTATTTTGATTTAGTTTCATTATGCCAAGATTGGCTGGAATTTTAGAAGCCCTCAATGAAGAAGAAATTGAAAGACGCAGGTTTAAAAGAAAAATGCGTACTAGGTACCTCCAAAGATCCATTCCCGACTTCGAGTTTGTATCTAAATACAGACTCAGTCGGGAAGTCTTCGAGAATCTTTGTCAGTATGTGGTACGATTATTACCCCTCCCTAAAAATAGTTGAGCAATCGATCCAATAACCAAAGTAAGATCTTATGTACATTTTGTAGATGAAAAAATTTAGTATTTACCTATTATTTAGTATTCCCATATCTATTTTTTTTTCAGATTCTCACTGCATTAAATTTTTATGCCAGTGGTAGCTTCCAGGGTGCAGTCGGACAAAATTTAGACACCACTATGGCTCAGCAGTCTGTCTCAAACTGCATCAGGGATGTAACAGATGCCCTAAATACACCCTATATACTAAGGAAATATATAAGATTTCCTCAGTCCAGGGAAGACAGGAACATATTGAAGAGAATGTAAGTTTATGTATATTAAATATGATTAAGATTTAACTTTATAGAATTTTATGCTCTTTGTCGATTTATAATACATATACTATTAATTTAGTTCAGTCAACTATTTGTAGTTGTAAATTTATAAATGATATTGTTGTTAATTTCAGGAATCAGCATAAGTTAATTGATGTTTAAATAATCAGTAGTTTATATTTCTTTTTCAGTTTTGCTACACAGTATGGTATCCCTGGTGTTATAGGATGTATCGACAGTACCCATGTAGCTATAATTCGGCCAACAGTCAATGAAGAGAGATTTTTCAATAGAAAACATTACCACTCTTTAAATGTTCAAGTTGTAAGTACAGTATTTTATGTAAAATTTGCATAGTGTATAAATAATTCTCAAGTTATTAATATTTGTCACTATCTGCAAATATCTTTATAATGTTTGTCCTATTTTTTAGATTGCTGACAGTAATTTAAAAATTATGAATATTGACGCCTCTTATGGTGGTGCCACTCATGATGCATTCATTTGGGAGCATAACGAGATCAAAGATCATTTGGAGAGTCTTCAAGGAGAAACAACTTATTTGCTGGGTAAATAAATCGTAATTGTTAACTTTGTAGTTGTACTACATATAAAATTGGTGAACAAACAAGAATACAATGTTTTGTCATTTCTTTTCATTATTAGGATGTCATAAAAGATGATTATAGATTGTATTTCAGTATTTTTTATGTTAAATATTATTAGCTGATATTATATTGAATAGTCTATAAGCTATCAAGTGCATTTATCAAATTCCAAGTCTCACAGTTAAGTATGTTTTCTTTTCTTTCAGGTATATAAAGATTAGAAGAGAGCCATACATTCTATTTATGGTATGGGTTCGAGATAGTCATTATATCAAGGCTTTAAAGAATCAAATATCCTCACCATTGCCTCACAGTACATTTATGAAATATTATGTATACAAGGAAAAACTTAGATAGTTTCAAGAAACTTAAAGACTGTACAAGTAGAAACTTATGCAATAAAAATATACTAATTTTACCTAAATGCTGTTAAAATTGATATTAAACAAATGCTATGTAAAAAAACCTATTATAGGATAGATGAATTCATAGATGACAGCAATATAATAAGTTTATTTGAATAAATGATTTTCTATTCTATTCTATTAGAAGTTAAGGCATTACTTATTTACAAAATTAAAAACTTTTTACAATAAAATATTTTTATTTTATAATCACATATATGTAGGTATATATATATATAGATAAAAGCAAAATCAAAATTGTATATTAAACATTTTTTAAAATAACACTAATTATAAATGATTAAACATTCATTCAGAAAAATGTTGTATAAGTATATGCAAACTAAGTAGTGTAGTTCAAGGCGCATTAAATTAATGACCAGTAAAAAACTGTAGTTTAGTACTTTGTGTCTTTGTTAATACTTATATAAAGCTAAGTAACATTTTTATACTCATTATTTAACAAATCAACAAACTAACATAATTCAACAAATCAACAATGATATATATAAAGCTAAGTAACTTTTTTATACTCATTATTTAACAAATCAACAAACTAACAGAATTCAACAAATCAACAATGATATATCTAAAGCTAACTAACTTTTTTATACTCATTATTTAACAAATCAACAAACTAACGTAATTCAACAAATCAACAATGATATATCTAAAGCTAAGTAACTTTTTTTATACTCATTATTTAACAAATCAACAAACTAACACAAATCTACATTAATCATGTCAAATTTAAAAAAAAAACAAAATTTCATCTATTCAGTCGTCTTAATTCTATTTGTAGACCATCCAATCGATCCCTTATTAATACATTTAATTCCTGGAGTGATTGGCGAATCAGCCCTGACTCTACCACCCGTCGATCCTCCGCTGCGATTCACCGCTCCTCCATTTCGAACAAACGCCTGCGTACACTGCGAGGTCCAATGGCGTCTGCTCGACGGCGTCGTCGCTCTGGACGTGTAGTAGCCGTTGAAGTTCTAAAAAGTTTTTTTTAAAATAATTATTATCATTATTGTTTTCGGTATGCATGATTGGTACTAATACCAGACTTGATGTCTAGGAATATACTAGTGATTAGGACTATAAGCCCCCATTACTAATAATCTTAATATTTACAGAAATATTTTCATATAACAATAATTTATTATGATATAAATTTTTTAATCAATAATAAGGTATAAGTAAGTGTTATTTATTAGTACTGTCTTATCTTTACTTCTTAGTTAACATTGAAAAACTGTGTATATATAAAAAGGTACCAACTCTGTCTCAACTCATATTTCTGCTATGAAGCAGCTGTTCTTGCATAGCTGTATTTCAGTTTGAAAGGTGGGAAAAGGCTATTTAGGTACCTTATATACAGAAATAAAAGGAATGGTAATGCATGAGGAATACTATGGAAGTCACCATGTATTTTGATGACATCCATTATGTTATATATGTCTAGAGATAACAGTTAGCACTATTTTAGTAATGGTTTTACAACATACCTCTGGAAATGCAGGAACATGTGCATCCGACTGAGGTTCTCCAAAGCCCTCTCCCATAATACCCAATATTCTGCACTGTATTGGGTTTAAAGGATCAGCAGATGATGGCCCTACCCCAGTGGCTGTGGCAGACCTTCGAGCAGCAGTAGCAGCTTTTTTAGTTAGATATTTTTTGTCAGCCCATACCTAAAATTTATAAAATTTATAAAGTATCAGTATTGGAAAATTTTATTTAATAACAAAATTATTTAACATTTTAAATGCATATCACGTACTAAAATATCAAGAAAAGTGCTTACCTTCTGCCACTGCTTTACAGTTAATACATTTGTTAGCGCTTGTCATAAATAGAAACTAATAAATAAAATCAAAGTTATTACATGTTCATTTTCATTGATGTTTAACGAACAAATTTAGCAATAAAAAATTATTTAAAAACACTTGTGATGATAATTCTTAAGTTTATATATAAAAATATAAAAACAAAAATTCAAATGTAAATAGAGGTTTGACGTTTTCTTATGACATAAAATACTACTAATTTTAGAAGTTTATAATTTCAATACATTTAAATATAAACGACTGTACATTTTATTTTATCCGGAGTATACCACTTTATTTTTTTCCTAATTTAAGAGTGTATAATAAAAGACTTCTCATCTTTCATTCGTTCACGATCATAGTCTATGGTACCCGTCCGAAATATCTTATTCCGAAGAAACTTCATGGTTCCTTTAAACTAGTATTTCGGTCGTCTTTCGTTTCGTTACGCGATAATCGGCAGTAACTTTCGTGGTAGACCTACAGGTATACTGCTATTCAGCCGCAACAGCTTATAATGCTACTAGCTACTTGGCGGCTGAAATAGGTGAGACTGAGGCACGCGATTAGCCTAGATATTTTTCATATGTGAAGATTTTATAAGTAATGATTCTGCGTGACATTTGTCCAACTGTTAAAAACACCTCAAATATTATGACGTGTGGTCTCTATTAATAAATATCTCCAGTTTTTAAATATAAGTGGTTTATTGCTACAACTCATCCTCTAACTGGCAGTTGTCACACATTTATTTAAATCATACTGTTGGAATGTTGTTCCACTTTTTAATGTCATCGGCACTAAGTCATAAATTTAGGATACGGTTTCATTTATATACTACTTGTAATTACGATTCTTATTTTAAATTCGATTACTTTTTGAAATTTCTTATATCCATAAAAAAATCTATTTTCTTTACTATTATATACTATATGTAATACAATAATAATATATGTTATTCTCTATGTATACGCTATATCTTAAATACATACTTATTTACAATCAATAAACTCTATTTTATACTGGCATTTCATTAGGTTTGATGCAATACGTTTCTATTTTCATAACATCGTCATTCGTTAACATAATGTACTTATGTTAACTATAGAAATATTTCTCACATTCCTGTTGGTAAATTCTTATTTAATACTAGCTGATATTCGCGAGTTCGTACGCGTGGAATTTGTTTTTTCTATAAATTGAAAGGAAGCCTAAGTATATATAAGCCATATACCTAGCATTATCTGCGAGTCTCGTCATAATCGGTGCAGCCGTTTCAGAGAATAGCAAGATTTGTTCTCTGAAATAGACATTTTTTTTAAATTATTCTTGATGTAAGAGTGACCATATGTACTTTCGTATGCATTTACTGAAAAACAGTTAATTTGAAATTACTAACAGAGACTTCCATTTTATAGCTTTGTATAAATTTATATGACAAATTAACATATATTTTCCTAATAGCATGTTGTTATGAACTTTGTAACCAATACCTCCCTAGGTCTGATGCAATCATGTGGTAGGGATACATAGCCCATAACGTATTCAAATGTAATATAATAAACTTATTTATTCTATGTCTTCGATTACTAATTTCAAGACATAAAGTTATTAGATATATTTGCAAACGTATGATGCAATGTTTTATGAGAAACTTATGGTTTTGTAACAGAAGTTGCATGAGTAGGACAGGAGACTCTCAAGTCTTATAGTATTATGCACTTTAGTTTATCCCGTATAGTTGATTATTTATTTTCAAACGATTTTTATTTCCATAAATATATAATAATTACGGATCTAAAACTTTAACAGCCCGTTTTTATACCATTTAGGTTTTATCATTATTAGGTTTAAGTACACGAATCGTATTTAATTAGGATAAAATTGCATTCTTCCAAAATTTTGTATGCTTCGTTTGTCTCGACATGAAGATAGATTTGCCTATGTATGTATCTAATTATGTACATTAATTTACAACATTTCCGGACGAAATTTTTACTAAATTTCTATTATATACTTCACAAAGTAGACAAGCTATTCTGCATACTTCAGCATTCTGCTAACACTGGCCACCTTAAGATGTTTATGTACATACAGACATGTATCTAAGGCTTGGAGATTTCTGGCATGATTCCATGAGTAAGCAGCGATCGGTGAACCAGCCAGGCGCCAGCCTGCATGAACGTGAAGTATTGTTATTGCATAAGCTCTTGCACAATTGCATAATAATATATTGTCTATACTTGATTTCCAAACAAATGCAGATAGTGGTTATATTATCAAAGTAAACGAAGGCGGGATCTCCTGACATTATTTAATTATACTTGAAAGTATACTCCACTTCAGGTTTAAGAACAATGCAATAAAGAATGAAGTTATTGCAATAAAAAAGATTTTTTTTATAAATACATATGTTTCCTAATAGGATAAGACGGGATTTGTAAAATCAGCCGTTTATGAGGGGCAGGTGTATTATGTATAGCGCGGGCAAAGACACGAGCCAAAACTAGCAAGTAATATATTCAACCCACGCTTTAGGTAGCATGGCAAAGAGTCAAAAGTACAAATGCTTGTGAGAGTGAACAATCTATTCTTCCATTTAAACATAATTACTCTCTACCTCGTTTGTTAATAAAACAAAGTGCTTCCAATTCGTTTTATTTAATTATCTTCTATTTGCTACAATTTCTACAATATAACACGAACAATTGTCCTATGTGAGCATGTACACGG